AGTTCTCTATATCACTGAAATCACTGGCTCAGTCTTTATGCTTTGGTGGCTTTGTTGTCTCACTGATGTGGGATACGCCCTCCAGTGGTGCAGATTGCGACCCAGCACTGCCCTTTCGCCTCGTATGACTTCTATCTATATCCTCCTATAAATTCTTCAAAGAGGATCCATCCCATGTGCTGGGGGCCTTCCTTTGTTTGACATTGTATGGGTACAAATGAAGTACACTGGTTTTCCATTGCTCTCTCTCTATAATAATTGCAGCAACAACCAATGTCTGTCTATAAGGTTTACACAAAGTTTTGCACAAGTTTACAAATATCTTATTTTATCCTCACAACAACTCTGGAAAGATAGGTGCTATTCCTATACTCATTTTACATGAAAAAAATTGAGGCAAAAAGAAAGGTTGGATTATTTGCCCGGGGTCACAGAGCTAAGCATCTGAGGCAAAATTTGAACTCCAGTCCTCCAGAATCCAAGTTCATTACTCTCGATACCCTGTCCACCTAGCAGCCACAGAGACAAGAGCACAGCTTACTTTGGATAAAGTCACTTGAGAGGCGCAGGTTTCCTCCTCTGCATAACGAGGGGTGGCAGTAGATGACCCCTAAGGTCTCTTCCAAATGCTGACATTCTCACAGACTCAGAAAATATTAAGAAGAGACGTTCTCTCCAAACACAGAAAGTCAGAAGTGAGGGAAGTGAAGGGCACATAGAAGTGGATGTACCCACCCTAGGCAACCAGTGAGTGGCAAGAGCGAGGTTGGAACTAAGGGCTCATGATCCCGGCACAGTGCTCACCATTGCACTATATTATTCTCAACCGAGAGAGAAATAGTCATTTGATAGAATTACTTCAAATTACAGTCCCCACCATATCTACTTTTATGTGTTTACTGTTTCTTCTTGTTCAGTCGTTTCGGTTGTGTCCAACTCTTTGGGACCCCCTTTGGGGTTTCTTGACAGAGACACTGGAATAGTTTGTCATTTCCTTCTCCAGCTCATTTTACAGATGAGAAAACTGAGGCAAACCAGGGTTAAGTGACTTGCACAGGGTCACACAGCTAGTATTTGAGGCTGGATTTGAACTCATGAAGATGAGTCATCCTGATTCCACGTCCAGTACTCTATCCATGGCACCCCTTAGCTCCTTACATATCATCAAATTCTGTCATTGGCAGTTAGGTGTTACGGTATATAGAAAGCACTGGAATCGCAGTCAGGAAGACCTGAGTTCAAATCTTGTGACTCTAGGCTAGTCATTTAACCTCTGTCTACCTCAGTTTCCTCAACTGTAAAATGAGAATAATAACAGCAACTACCTCCCAGAGTTGCTGTGAGGATCAAATGGGAGACTATTTGTAAAGTGCTTAGCACAGTACCTGGCACATAGTATGCACTAGATCAATGCCAGCTATTATTATGATTATTAGACCTCGAGTAGGTCGCTATTTCCTCTGCAAGCCACAGGGGTAAAATGAGGACACAGTGTTTCAGGCAGAGCAGCAGCAAATTAGTATCTGAAGTCTCTCAGCAAAAGAAAGAGAGAAGAGGTAGGTAATTAGATAAATGTAAATAACTGTAGCCTTGCTGGTAATTACAGTAATGCTGGAAGACGACAATTGAGGGCTGTTTCTGTTTATAGTAGGACCAGCCAGCAGTCTGCTAGGTGCCAATCAAAGCCAGCTGAGCAAGCTCGTACCCCAGCCCAAAAGAAGGCAGTAAAGCCTGCAGGAGTCACCATCAGCGAAGCACCCAGCAGGGCAATACAAAGCAGCATTCAAGGGCTAGCTATTAGACAGCTAACGTGGGGAAGAAAGGAATGTGGCCAATGTAGGCAGGGCCTGTGCAGAACATAATGTCTGTGTATTGGTCAGTGCCAATCAGCAGCTCTGCCTGCCCAAGGGGGAGATGCGTCTCCATCCTGGGGGAGGCAGTGAAAAGGTCACAGGAATGCCTCTCTGTTCTCAAGTAATGAGAATGAGTGAAGTGCTCTGGGGACGAATACAAGTAGGGCTTCAAGGAGGAAAAAACGTCTGGAGGGGCAGAGAAGCCTCCTAAACTGAGCCTAGAAGGTGGAGGACAGGGGGAAAATGTGGCCACTAAAATGCCTGGGACTAGAATACATGTGAGGCTCTCCCTTTAAAGGGGACAACCAGACCCTCTGAGGAAGCAGCTTCTTCTGATCCAAAAAATAGATAGACAGACAGATAGATAGATAGATAAAGACAGATATAGATAGATGGAGAGATACATACAGATACAGACATATAGACAGATGGGTATAAAGATAGATTAGAGAGAGATAGAGATACAGATAGACGGATAAAGAGAGAGAGGAATAGACAGATATAAAGATAGATAAGAGAGATAAGAGAGATATAGATAAGAGATAGTAAGACAGAGATGGATAGATAGATAGATAGATAGATAGATAGATAGATAGATAGATAGATAGATAGACAGATATAGATAGATAAGAGACAGAGATAGAGAGAGGGAGAGATAGACAGATATAAAGATTAGAGAGAACTAGATATAGACAGACAGACAGACAGATAAACAGAGACAGAGAGAGAGGTATAGATAGAGATAAAAATACATAAGAGAGAGATCATAGAGATAGAGAGGGATATAAAGATAGATAAGAGAGATAGAGATAGAAGAATAGATAGATATAGATAAGAGAGACAGAGATGGATGGATGGATGGATGATGTGAATATACAAGTACCACCAATCAATCAACAAGCAGTTATTAGCTCCTACCGTATGCCTATGATCCTCATTAAACATTCCATTTACCAATCCAGGCAGACTTCCTAGAGGAAAGGCTGACTTTCTAACCCTTTCCTGGAGGGGGCTGAACCTGATATGGGCCTTGAACAATGACTACGATGGGCCAGGTTTAGGAACAGACATAGGTGGAGGGAGGGAGGATAGTATGGGCCAAAGTTATGAAGCTGAGAATAAGCTGGGTTTAGACAGGGAAACAGAAGGGAAGATGGCCCGCCTGGAATGTGTATAGGAGAACAGGAATAGTCAAAAACAGAAGAGTCATCATTAATATGTATAACAAATAAATTAATATGTATAATAAATTAATATGTATAATAAATGACATTTTAGGGTTTATAAGGAATTTTCAAATAAACAATTCAACTCAATATCAAATAGTTACGTGTTAGGCAGTCAGGGTACAAAGACAAAACAAAAATAGTTCCTGCCTTTAAGGGGCTTAGAGATAGATCACAATTAATCTTAGGTCTAGAGCTAGAAAGGACAGTAGAGTTCAAGTAAATAGGAATTTTTAAGCATCTATTGTATGTCAAGCATTGGGGATCCAAAGAAAGGGAGGAATAAAACCAGGCTCTAGTCTCAAGGAGCTCACAGTCTAATGAGGGCGATAATATGAACAAAGCTGTGTACAAACAAGACACACGGAAGTTAACTAGGGGGGCGGTCTCAAAAGGAAGCCCTCAGATTAAGGAGAACTAGGAAAGGCTTTATGAAGAAGGAGGAATTTTAGCGGAGACTTGAAAAAAACTAGGGAAGCCAAGAGGCGAGGATGAGAAGGGAGAGGGTTCTAGCCATGGGGGATGGTCCGTGAAAACTGCCTGGACTGTCTGTGCAAGGAACAGCTGTCACCAGACTGAAGGCCTTTTCATCTCACCCCTTCTTTCTACAAGTGAGGAAAAAGAGGTCCAAAAACGCTAAAAGACTTAGCCAAGGTCACACACAGGTGATCCTGGCAGAGTCAAGATGTGAAGCTAGGACCTCCAACTCCAAATTCAGTGTTCTTTTCAAGGCATCATCCTGCCTTCCCAAAAGAAGGGCAATCACTATTATCCCCATTACATAAAGGACAAAACTCTAGCTCACACAGATTAAATGATTTGCCCAGGATCATCAAAGCTCATATTTATCAGAGTCAGGATTTGAACTCACAGCTTCCTTGATTCTAGGGCTGACCTGCTCTCCACTGGACCATGACATGCTTTTGCTGTTTGAGCTTGGACTCAAAAGGGCTTTCCAGGTTCTTCAGTTTCATCACGTTTTGAGTCAATTCATCAAGTTTTTATTAAGCACCTACTGGATGCTAGGCAAAAAAGCAGACCAGCCCCTAGAATCAGGAGGTTCCGAGTTGAAGTCCTGACTCTGACACACGAGCCGAGTGGTCAATTCACTGGGCTCAGGGCCCTGGCTACTTTCTAGGAACACAAACTGCAGCCTAATTGCCAATCCGTATCAACAAAGCTTCCAGAGTAGGAGTTTCCTACATCAAGAAAATTGCAAATCTTGCCCCAAAATCTTAACTTTAAAAGTGCCAGAAACTTTACCAGGTATGAGGATTTTTGTTTAGTGGTTTTTTTTTCCCCCATCATACTGATCCCCATTTGGGGTTTTCTTGGCAGAGATACTACGGTGTTTTGCCATTTCCTTCTCCAGCTCATTTTACAGATAAAGAAACTGAGGCAAACAGAGTTCAGGGACTTGCGTAGGGTCACAAGGCTAATAAGTGTCTGAGGCCAGATTTGATCTCAGGTCTTGTGCCACCTAACTACCCAGATAGGAGGATACAAAGACAAAAGAAACAGCCCCTGCCCCCAGGGAGCTTACATTCTACTAGCAATACAAGATGGGCTAAACCTAAGCAAGTAAGTATAACACAAAAGAATTGCAAGAGGGAGGACACCCTAACAAGAAAAGGGTAGGGAGTAATCTGGAAAGGCTTCCTGGAGAACAGAATCTCCACAGTCCCAAGGCATAACAGCATCTTTTTTCTCATGTTTATATGGAACATGGCAAAGACCTGAAGCTTGTCCAGAAAGCAAATCTTGATGGATTCCAGATGAGTCTCTATCAGCTGGGTACTCATCTCCCATTATTCCAGGCAACTTCAATCTCCCATTTAAGAGCACATCCAAGTGGGTCCACCCTTGGCCTCCTACATCCATTCTCCACCCCCACCTTGTTCCAGTTCCCCTGACTACTCACCTCAGGGAAGCAAAGTGGGCTCAGGTCTTCACCAAATAAGGTCCCTTTGGTCCAGCCTGGTTTGGGAAAAAGGAAAAAAAATAAAGTCAGACATCTCTCCAGACAGCTGGTGCTCTCAGGCCCCACCCTGAGCCAGATAGTCAGAGACAGAATGGGAAAACCTTACCCAAGACCACACAGCTAGTGACTGACATCGATGGAATATGAACCCAGGTCGAAGTAATTTACAGGCAAATTGTTGCATGTTTAAGACAGCAAAGTCTAGGAGATAGAGTCTCTGAAGGACAGAAAGGTTCTAGGGAGAGAGGAGTCTGAAGGGAAGTTTGTCTGCCCAGGCTTTTGCATATAGGCCACACAGAGGGTATATACAAAAAGACAGATGCTCAACAGTCACAAAATCACAAAAAGTGTCAGAGCTGAAAGAGACCTCTGAACACAGATAATGTTAGAACTAGAAGAAACCTCAACACAGGAAACACAGAATTATAGAAGCAGAACAGAATCTGAAAATCTACAGAACATAGAATCTGAAAAAAAAAAAAAGAGGGGCCTGAGGTATCAAACAGAAAGCCTGAAACAGATTAAAATGTAACTGGGAATTGCTTAGCAAAATAAATAAAAATACATGTTAACATTTGGTTTCCTAAGTCAATATGTGGCTCACAGAGATCCTTATGTATGTTTTGTGGCCCCCTTTTCTATATAAATTTGATACTACTATCTTAGAACACAAGACACTGGGACTAAAAGGGGACTAAAAAGAGAACATTACAGCTGGAATGAACCTTAGAGACCTCCACAGAGTGTCCACCTAGAATTATTATCATTTTCTATAATAAAAAGGATGCTAGATTTTGAAGCAGACAACTTGAATTGAAATCCTAGCTTGGCCAATTACTAGTTTTCTTGACCTTAGGCAAGTTATTTAATCTCTCTGGGCCTCAGTTTCCCTCATCTGTAAAACAGTCAGGTTAGATCTCTGAGGTCCCTTTTAGCCCTACGGTCCTAGCCTGTGGGCTCTCAGCTGTGTCTTAATGAGCAGGGATAGACAGCACTGAATGTGTAGATGAGACAGCTGATAAGTTAAAGGGCCCATCTGTTTCCAGGGTATAACTCAAAATTTATTAAGCACTTACCATGTTTAAAACACACTGCTGGGCACTGGAAGAGATGGGCTTAATCATAACACCTAAGATGAAATATGCATCACTAAGAAAATTATCCTCCAGTGGAGACATATATTATGACCTATTCATATAACATAATATAGGCAGCTGGTGTCACAGTAGCCAGAGTGCCAGATGTGGAGCCGGAAAGACCTGAGTTCAAGTCTGGCCTCAGACACTTACTAGCTGTTTAACCCCAGGCAAGTTATGTAACTACTGCCTGCCTCAATTTCCTCATCTGTAAAATGTGGATGACAAAAGCACCTACCTCCCAGGGTAGTTGTGGGGATCAAACGAGATCCTATTGGTAAAGTGCTTAAACTTTAATACATGTTAGCTGCTATTATTCTATCTACAAGACAGATGTGTGGCTGGATGAGGCACTTGGCCTTTCACCAAGATAGTCTTCTAACAAAGCATGACATGAGAAGCTGAATCTCATTGGGATATTACAAAAAGAGAAACTGAATCCCTGAAGACCTGGGTTCTAATGCCAGTGATTTCCTGTGTGTCTCTGGACAAGTGTCTTTGCCTCTCTGGGCCTTGGTTATATCCTCCACAAAACAGGGGCCGGTGGCTGGCCCCAAAGGAATGATATGACTATCAAAGGAAAGTCGGACTGCCCTTTTAAATACAGAAAGTTAGTTCCAGATACACAACCCACAATGAAAAAAGCCTGCGGGGACAGTAACTATTCACCTCTCTGATTAGGACTTGATGGAGATACTGGTGGCATAGTGGATGGAGGGCCAATCTTGGAAGCCCTGAGCCCAAGTCCTGCCTTTGACATCTCCTGGCTGTGTGACCCTGGGGAAATCACTTAACATCTCAGGGCTCTAGACAACTCTTTGGGAATATTGAAAATACTGTTGGAAAGGTACCTCGGTGAAGGGAATTTCTTTATCTATGACTTTTAAATACCAATGAAATCACAGGTTTAGTCAATCTCCTAATTATTAATCGGGTGGGATTTAAAGAGATTCTTGTTTTTGAATCAATTGGGTTTTTTATGGTCTCCCATAGAGGCTCCCAAGTCAGGCATGATATAAATGTCAGGCATGATATAAAGGAAATCCACAGCTGCAGACAGCTTCTTTTTACTGTTACTCCTTTCTCCTCCTGTTGTTGCTACCTGACAACCCACCCCCCCCACCCCCACCATCACCATCACCTAGGAATGCCTCCTGTCGCACCAAGGGCTGGTGGCCAGATCACAAAGTCCACAGGACAAAGACCATTTTCATTCAGAACTCTTTCCCCTGCCAGGGAAAGCAAGGTATTATTCTCTGTAGCCTTAGTTTCTCTATCTGTAAAATAAGCCCTTCCAGCTCATGTATTCCGTGTTCTTGATCAACCAAGCAACAATATTGATTAGGTATTTATTATATGTCCATTCTGACATGCTAAGGTCCCTTGTAGCTCAGATATTTTATGCTGAATGAAAGGAAAAAGTATTATAAGCTTTTGGACAATACTAAGGACCAAAAAAAGACAAAAAAGGGAGGGAGTCCCTGTGTTTAAAGATTTTACGGGAGGAGACAGAGGCAGCCAGGTGGCACAGTGAATAGAGCACCAGGCCTGGAGTCAGGAGGACTCATCTTTCTGAGTTCAAATCCGGCCTCAGACACTTACTAGCTGTGGGACCCTGGTCAAGTCACTTAATCCTGTTTGCCTCAGTTTCCTCATCTGTAAAATGAGCTGGAGTAGGAAATGGCAAACCACTCCTGTATCTTTGCCAAGAAAAGCCCAAATGTGGGGCAGCTAGGTGGTGCAGTGGATAGAGCACCAGCCCTGGAGCCAGGAAGATCTGAGTTCAAATCTGGCCTCGGACACATAACACTCACTAGCTGTGTGACTCTGGGCAAGTCACTTAACCTCAACTGCCTCTCCAAAAAAAGAAAGAAAAAAAAAGAAAAGAAAGAAAAGCCCAAATGGAGTCACATAAAGTCAGATACAACTGAAAAGCCTATTGAACAACAACAAGGAGGGGGAGAAAATGAATAATAGGGTGGTAACAAGCTGGAAAGAGAATTTGGGTCTATACAGCCACAAGGATGGTAAGTTGATCCATGGACCAGGAGACTGACATGTCCTTTGCAAAAGCAATCTAGAGCAGATGATAAGATAGGCCAGATAGAATATAAGGTGGGATGAGTGTGACCTTGGTCTAGTCTGAGGTTGGTGAGATAGAATGGGCTACAAGAGTTTGTAGCTCACCAATCAAAACAGATGAGCATATCAGATTTTAAGTTCCTTGAGGGCAGGGACTGTTTTCACCTTTCTTTGTACTCCCAAGCTTAGCATAATACCTGGCACATAGCAAATACTTAATAAATGCTTTCTGACTTGACTAAGACTTAAAGCAGAATGCCAAAGTTCTTTTGAAGAATTTAGAATTTTATGTTCTATTGGATTGGATTGGATTGGATTGGATTAGATTAAATGAAGAACTAGTAGGTGCTTAATAAGTTGACTTGACTCTGACCCAGGGCAATAATGCCAGTACCACAAGAAACCTTTCCAAGTGTTCCTTAATCTTAATGCCTTCCCTCTCTTGATTTATCCTGTATGTATCATTTGTACACAGGTGCTTGTCCACTGTCTCCCCCCCCCCCCCCCCCCGTTAGACTGTCTGGACAGCAGGGCCTTTTCCCTTTCTTTGTATCCCCAGTGCTTAGCACAGTGCTTGGCATATAGCAGCCCCTTAATAAGTATTAGTTGATTGATTAGATAAAACATTTATTAAACACATGCTACATGCCAGGCACTGTGCTAAACAAAAAGAAAGGCAATCTCTTGCCCCAATGAGTTTATATTCTAATGAGAGACAACACACAAAACGGAGCTAATAAAGGGGTAGGGGCAAGGTGGAACAGTAGCCTGGAGAGAGTGATAAGCACAGCTGGTGTAGGAACTTTCTCAAATGGAGGTTCCAAGTCGGAACTCATGCGTTGGGGGAGGAAGTCTCAGAGCAGCAGAAGCATCTGCTGGAGAAGAGGTAGAAAAGGAATCCAGAGAGCTTTATGTTCTAAGGTTCCTTCCAGTTCTGACATTCTATGTTTTATGTTCTACTTTAATATTCATTCAGGGAAGCTGGGCAGGGATTTCTATACCCATTTTACAAATGAGCAAATTGAGACTGGGGTTAAGCAACTTGCTGAAGAGCACACAGCTAATTATTAGGAAGAAGACTAAACCTAAGGCTTTCTGACTCCCTAGCAAATGTTTTTCTTCCTACTTCTGACCCTTATTAAAGGTACCTTGTGATTTTTCTCTTTTGTAAAAAAGAGGACATAAAAGTATGAGGATTCTGTATAATCTATAAAAAGTTTTGACCTCTTGTTTCTTATTCCATCATGTTTTCCAAAATAATTTGCTCTTTTCCCCGACACCAACCTTTGTGTTGAAGTCATTGATCATTACTGTTTAGAGATGGGGATGGGGACTGAACCTGTGATTTCATTAATATAGTTTCCTCCCAGAAGAGTAAACTCACTCTCCCAATGCATGTCAGCAAGAGCTACCCAGGGCACTGAGAGATGAAGCGATTAACCCAGGGTGACACAGGCAGTATGTGTCCAAGGCATGACATGAGCTCAGGCCTTCCTAGCTCTAAGACCAACTCTCTATCCACTATGCCACACTGTCTCTTACTAACATTGGTTTAGGGGGTCTTATCTAATTCTTTGTAGAACTGTTTGGCCCACTCATTCTCTGGAGCAGATGGATATTGCTACATAAGCTGTGATTATCTTCAGGGCAGTACATCTGCCAAAGGTATTCCCCATCATCATGGAGAGTGTCTAACAGAGCCCAAGTGGAAGAGAGAGGGAACGACTTCCAGATGCTCAGATGTATTTATGGATGACATTGTGTTGACTGTATCAAGC